CTTCTCTATTTTATTATAAAATTTAATGTTAAATAATAAAAGAATTTCTCATATCATATCAATATATAGGGCTTTGATCATAGTAATTAAACATGCCAAACTGTAGTTTGGGTAAAACTAGACACATAACAGAGGTACATAAATCTAGGTCAAGGGTAAATATGGAGCATTATACATGTAGAATTTTAATAAAATAGTCACACGTGGGATATGAATTATACATCTCATATAAAGGTTAGTATTTGTCTTTTTCATATCTTTTTTATAAAGCATATTTAATTAATTAAAGATAGGAATGTTTGCAAAAAAATGACTGATGCAAAAATTGGGTCAAAAGCCTACCGAAGGATTTTTAAAAAAAAAAAAATCATCTTAACTACCCCATCAAGCCACCATTCAAAGAGGTTCCCAAACCAGAAAGGTAGATTTCTACTCAAACATAAGAGATATACAAGCAAAGTTGATGAAAAGTTGTACATGTCCAAAATTAGGCAACCCCCCCCCCCCCCCATAAAAAAAATATACGAACTGAATCTACAAACTTAGTAAGGAAAAAAAACTTATATGTCAACAATGCAAATCAAACGTGTATCTTTTTTGTTACAAGTAACAATATCTTACACGTGTTAATTTCACTTTATATTCCTTGACAGCCAGAACCTAAAAGCAAATGTTAAAGCCACTATAGACTAATTATATATAAAACCAATGTTCTTATTAGTTCGAACCCATTAAACAAAATATTTCCATTTCCATGTAGCTTTGTTCTAATTTTATTTACTAATGCTAAAATTGAAAAATTGTCCCACTGTGGGACGTGGAGATCGGTCCTTCGGATGAGACCGTATAAACCGAGGTCCCGTGTCGCAGTAGGTGCTATCACGAAAAAGATCCCTCACTTCTCAATGGCTGTAAGTGCCGAGTATAAGACAAAATTTGCAACTCTCCACCGGCTATTGGTGGGGTCTCCATATGAAAAATTCTCGAGAGGAACGTTAAACAACAAACAAACAAACAAAACGTCGCGGGTTTTAATCCAATGTGGGGCGTGGAGACCAGTCCTTCGGATGAGACGGAGGTCCCGTGTCGCATTAGATGTTGGCACGGAAAAGATTCCTCACTGCTCAATGGCCCTAAGTGCCGAGTATAGCTCTCCACCGGCAAGTGGTGGCGTCTCCATATGAGTGAAAAATTCTCGAGAGGGACGTTAAAAATAATAAACAAACAAACAAACAATAAATGACTTCCTTTGGTTTTGATGATGAGCATACTGGTTCACCAACAGATATAAAAGCAATCAAAAAAAATTACGGGTTTTTGATCATATGCATCTACAAGTGCACTGTCAAGTTCCCGATTGAAAAGATGATGAATAATGAGTAAACGAACGCTAAAAGTATTCCTTAACCGATATGCTCATGCAACAATTTTCTAAATAACAACATTGTGGCGGGAACTGAATGTCTTATGATTTTGTACATGTACATATACCTTAAGGCTGCTAATTAAATGTAAATTGCTTAAAAGGAAAAAGGATTGTGTGAACAAATTAGACACAAATAAAGCTGTTTGTTACACTAGTCGGTATATTACTTATAATAACACAATTTAAAGTTACCCTTGCTCTATGTAGCTTTTGTTGAAGATATTAAAGCTGAAACAGTTTGTCTATAGTGTTAAGAGTTCTCTTTTTAAATCCTGTTGTATGACCTGTTGGCTCTTGGTGCCAAATTGTGAAATAACAAGCACTAAGAAGAAACATCTTGCCAATGTTGAAGAAAATTCTGAAATAAATACCTACAAAACACCTTAGATTGTGTTGCATCAGTGTACAAGCGCAATCTGTAGGTAGAAGTATATTTTTCATGTAGAAGCATGATTTTTAAGGCAATCTTCTCAGACGACCGTGTCGAATTGTACCCGTCCATTTCATTGTCTGTCGTCAAATATTTTTACTGCAACAGGTGGAAATGACGTAAGCTGCATATTTCCAATCTTGCCAGTTAATGTTCTGCGGTATTATAAACCAGTGAATTCAAAATAAAAGACACCACAGAGTTGACCACTTTTGTATCATATCTGGATGATTTACTGACTATAGACGTCATGCAATGGTCAAATAATAATTATAATAACTTATAATAATAATGTGATAAACGGGACGACTTCATCTTTTTCATCGTCAACTTCACTTATTTATGAAGTAAAATTCCTGCATATGGTGTTGATGTCTCCAGCTGGTTCAAAATGCAAGTTAGATCATGAGAGTTAAGGGTAGGTTTTGGTGTTTCCATGCAACTGAACTGATAAAAAAAAACAAAAAAAAAAACGCATAAGAGATGTATCTATTACACAAAGATTTAATTCATTTTCCTATTAATACTTAATTCCCATTACATGTTAAAGTCGGTATACATTATGATATCATAACATGACTTCATTGTTTTTAACTTCTCGAGGTAATAAAACACACCGACAAAAGCATATCCTTTTTTATTTTAGATAAATAATGAATAACTCTAAGAAGAACACGAGGGACAGAGACAGAGAAAGCTAATGGGGGGAAAAGAAAACGAGCGAGAAAGCGATATAATCAATTCATTTCCCATAAATAAATCCGTTGTTCAATGAAATCATTTATTTACAAGTACTACCTTTCCATTTCACACACCGCTGTCTTTACTTATGCGCCACTTTCTACGGTATATAGAAAACATCATGGCTTCAAATTTAATCAGAAAACACATCATTAATATTCTTGTGTTAGAAATTTATTGTAAATTATTTGACAGCGTCTATATTCATTCGTGTACAGACCCCCTCTCTCTATTCAATCTCTCTCTCTCTCTCTCTCTCTCTCTCTCTCGTATTTATTCTATTTCCCCTTTTTGTGACAGTTATATACATACTCCTAATGCAGTAAGTTTTGGGCCATTTTTTAAGAAACCATCTTTATTGTGATAGCAAAATTACGATGATGTAATAAATTCTAGTATTCTATTTCTATATTGATTTTAAATCAATCCTCGTGTTTCAGATTTTTTTATTGATCCACTTTTATTATTAACTTCACTGTCCTCGTGTTTATTTGAAGAAAAAGAGGGGGTTACTCCAGAGCTGGATATTTAAATCCCCCTCAATATTTGTCACATTTTTATTTTACGGAATTTTATAGGCCTATTTTAATTTTTATTTTAAGAAGCTTCAGGTCAATGTTAATAAATTACTTTATTCTTTGTTGTAAATTATAGAATTTCACATGGAATGAACAACACATTTTCGAAATGTACAGCAATATCGTCATGTATCTTAAAAAATAATAAAGACCCTCGAATCCTTTAGGCACTAATCATCTATGTATTAAACAGGAATAAGTTTTGTACCTAAATATTAATTTAAAATAAATTATCATAGTTGGAGGGGGAAATTTTGAGTTCTACGGGGTATTCATCCTACGATAAACATGATAAAAAGCTCTCGTTTTCCGTTGCTGCACCTAATTAACAACTAGTTCAAACAGAGTCGATTGACCTATAGATTCAAATAGCTCATCTGAAAACCTATACACATTTATATCCATAATCGGTAAAGTTACACTAGGCATAATGCATTATTTACATCAATGGTCCTTTTGACGTCATAAAACCACAAAAACAAGAACGATAAGCGGGTAATAAATTTATCAAATGCACAAGTTTACGCCTTCATTTCTCATTTAAGCATTTTTTTAAAAAATTATATTTTAATTTTTTTTTTACTTATCGTATTTGACATTCTTTCATACAAGTCTTTATGTTTGAAAGTAAAATCCTAGTATTAAGTACCGTTTCGTACGACCTTTAAAGGTCTTATCACAAGGAATGCACTTGTGACATATGAAAGCCCTAGCACCAACCGTTCAAAAGTTATGGACAATGGTTAAGTTTTTTAAAAGTACGTCAAACTCCAAGGTCAGGAGGTCAAAAATGTTGGTACCCAAAGAAAAGTCTTGTCACAAGGAATACACATGTGAAATATACAAGCTCTGGCACCAACAGAATGTTCAACGGGTAAGTTTAAAGTTTTTGTGGACAAACAGTCAGACAGAAAAACAGACCGAAAACTACGAGTATATGCCCCCAATCTATGATTACCGGGGCATAAAATTATTCTTAATTAAATTAAAATTATAGGAATAATAATTAAAATTAAGGAAGAATAGCACCATACATAATTGAGGCATATTTTTATTTTGAATGATTAATTGACAAGACATATTGAATTACGCAGGTGAGTTAAGGCTAGGTATAGGCATTTCTATGCAAATAAACTAATTAAAATGCCTGAAGACTATATCTATTATACAGAGAAAGTTAAAACTTATTGTCTAATACATACTTGGTACCCACGACATGAGATAGCCAGTACACATTATGACGTCATATTATGACGTCATTGTTCTTTACTACACAAGGTTATAATGGACATCATCAAAAATGCTTCGGCGCAAGGGCATGCTCTATTTTATTTAACCGAAGCAAGGTATATTTAGATCCAAAATATTTCAAAGATTGCTGGTATTGCTGCACAAATATCAACAGTTCAGTTGTATAATATCTATTTGTAAAGTCATAAGTTGAATCAGGGTAAAAATGCACAGTCCGGTATACGTTTCCTTAAATTCTGATCAAATGAGAAAATACCTAGGATTTGTGCAGCAGTTTTATTAATCTACAGAATATTCTTCTTAGCATTATACAATTTTTATGTAAAATTAAATAGGGTAATCCCTTGCGCCGAAGCTGTTTTGTTGTGTGTTTTATTTCCTCCAGTAGGTAAGAACAATGACGTCATAATATGACGTCATAATGATTACTGGCTATAACATATCGTGGGTACTAAATATGCATAAGAAAATAAATCAAAACTTTCTCCGAATAGTAAATTTACCTCTTATGCGTTTTTATTAGCTCATTTGCATAGAAACGCCTATACCTAACCTTAACTCACATGCGTAAGCGTATGTATCACATTTCACGTTTACAGAGGAACAGGGCAGAGTTTTCATTTTCCCATTTATTTAAAACACGTAAATGTGCTTTGGCAAACAGATATTCCAGTTGATTACTTGTGTATTTATGACTCATTCCATTTCCCCCATGAAGCATCAATTTTTCGCCTTCTTCCAATGTCATCGTTATTCCCAGCTTTTCTGAAATGAGAATGAAGTACATGAATTATATTTTGATAGAATTAATAAAGGTTGTCATATAATATCTTGAAATATTAAATACAGCATTATCAAAACTTTGATTTACATCATGATTGTTATTACCACTGTATGTTTAGAGTATGAAAAATATAGAAGTCATTTTTACCTATATTATATGACTGTTTACAAAGAGAACGCAGCCACACTTGGACGCAGCTCGCACTTGAAACGTCTTTGTCTTCAACATATTTTCCCTCCAGTTTAAACTGTGATATATCAATATTTGCTTCAAACTCTCTATTCAACACATGTATACCATTTGTGTACAATTTTGCATTCGGTCTTTGCTCTGAAAATAAGGAAAGAACACCAAAAATGTAGAAATAAATTGTTTAATAAATCCAAACAACAGTAACTTATTTAGACAAAAGAAAAAATGCGTTCAGTAGTATTTTTTTATATATATATTTACTAATATATAGATGTACTTAGCTTCACCAGAATCTTTGATTTACTATGAAATAGTTAGATCATATTAAGCAGAATTTTATAAGTTAAGATGGGCGGAAGGAGGGAAGAAAAGTAAGAACACAGCCTGCTTTTCATTGGCTGATCCAAAGTTCTGCACTAATCAAACTTTTCCTCTCTCTCGTTATTGTTTCTTGAAGCTGTCGGTTTAAAATCTCACATGACTTTGAACGTTGAAAAATTTTTACGATAAAGTGAAGCACTTACAAGAATATATGGTTTCATATTTCTGCCCCCTACATACAAGATAAATTTTGTTAACATGCAACATAATAATGTAGATATACGACTTATTTATGTCAATTTACAAAATAATTATGTTGACATGCAAGTTACCAATCTCTTTAGAGAATCTAATTTTAATTAGAATCTAATTTCAATGTTGGTAAACTTACTAACGCCATTATATGACATCATACAAGCAATATGCAACATAATTATGTTGACATGCGACTTATTTATGTTAACATGCGAGATAATTATGTAAACGTGCAACTTCTTTATGTCAAGATAATTTTGATAACATTCGAGTTAATTATGTCAACATGCAAGATATGTATGTTTATATACAACTTATAATCTTGCATGTTGACATACATATCTTGCATGTTAAAATATAACTCGCATGTTGACATAATAAGTTGCATGTTGACATAAATAAGTCGCATGTTTACGGAAGCGTAAAGGTCTCTACACTTGTGTTATATTTGTGTACATTGTCTTACTTTTTATTGTCGTATCAACATATAATCTGTTATGATTTCTTATTTTCATTTATATGTTGCATTGTATCTGGGTATTTTCACATAATTTAAAGCGTCTTTTCTGTATGATGGGTTTTATTGCTAAAAGATATATCGACTTGAAAAAATATTGATTTAAGCATGAAAATTAAAGATATCGATGTAGTTAGCCCGACACACAACAATAAAAATGTATGCATAATAGTTAAGTTAATATAGATATGCTAGTATTTCTATGGGAAAAGTTTGAAAATATTGTTCTCCATCTAATTTCGCGGGCGCGGGAATCCTAATGACAAGTCAAATCACTGATTTATTGACGGCACATGCACAAAGTGTCAAATATTTGTTGTATGATTATAGAGAAAAACGTTTTGAAGAAGAAGGGGGGATGGGGGCATGATCAGTTAGATTGTCCCCATTGAAGCAATAATCAATTTACATCATTCTAATTAATAAGAAATTAAATATATGCAAGTCTAATAATAATTTAATATTTTTTCTTCTGAATAAAATTAATTAATCTCTCTTTAAAATAAAAAGTATGTGCTTACAAAGTATGCAGAATTACAGAATTAAAAATTGATGTGACTAAAAGAACTAGTGAACTCCCCCCCCCCCCATTGTTTCAATGTTCCATTCATAAATACATTTAGTACTTGTCCTATTCGGGAATGAAGCGAAAGTAACAATATAATAAAAGTGACACTGGCTATTTACACTCACTATAAATATTTGATTTTTTTGTAAATATAGGATCTTCCACATAGACGGGAACCTCTAAAAGTCTTGACCCCCCCCCCCCTCTCCCCCGAACTCAAAAAATATATGCAGTGAATCATGATAGAATATATATAAGATATAAAAAGATGAAATAAAACGATCAGCTCATCAGATCTAGTTTCTTATTATTGAGAATTATGTAAAATAATTTGTGCTTCGTTGCAGCCAATCTGCATACGCTTCTAGTCATAAAGTTAAAAGGGGAAAAAGATGGGGTAAGCCACATAAAATATTTGAAAAGAAAAACAGAGGGTTAATTATCCAACAGCGAGTATTTTGTCTATTTTCTGGATATATTAGCAGATCTATTATATACTCAGGTAGCCCAAAGATACTCTTATAACCCCCCCCCCCCATGCCTATGATCTAATTGCTGCTCTCCATCCCCCCTTTTCAAAACATTTTTGAATCTGTATCAGTCTATAATCGTATACGATAGCAAATACATAGTACAGGAGCTTTCACTGAATCCCAAGTGAAGTGAAGATTCATTAGAATTCCCGCCCCTGCGAAATTAATTCAATGATGATGTTTTCTCACTTCTTTCTCGGAAATATTCATATATTTATATCGATATATCGATATATTTATTTTACATTTCAACATCACTATATTGATATGATTGAATATATTGCTTTGATCAATATCTTTAAGTCAATATTTTTTTAAGTCGATAAAACTTATAGCAATAAAATCAATTAAATAAGAGAAGGTGCCTTAAATTATGTAAAAATATCTAAATACAATTCAAAATATGTGTATAAATAAGGAGTTATAACACATTATATGTTTATAAGATAATAAAATATAAGACAATATACAAGTTTTAACACAACAAGTGTAGAGACCTTTACGCTTCCGTACATGTTGGCATCAATAAATTGCATGTTAACACAATTATCTTGCCTGTAAAAATATAACTGGCTTGTTGACATAAATAAGTTGCATATCTTCATAAATACCTTGCGTGTTAAAATAATTATCTTGCATGTTGACATAAATAAGTCGCATGTCTACATATTTATGTTGCACTTTAACATAAATATGTTGCATGTTGACATCTATTGTGGCATATTTCTGCCCCCTGCATGCAAGATAAATTATTTCAACATGCAACATAATTATGTAGACATGCAAGTTACCACCCTCTTTAGAGAATTTAATTTTAATGATGGTAACTTACTTAATAACGCCATTATATGACATAATTATTACAGAATTATGTTGACATGCGACTTATTTACGTTAATATGCGAGATAATTATGTAGACATGCAACTTATTTATGTCAACATGTAAATTAGATAATCAAAAAAGATTGGTAACTTGCATGTCAACATAATTAATACGCTTGTAGACATAATTATCTTGCATGTTGACAAACTTTTCTCGCATGTTAACATAATTTATCTTGCATGTAGGGGGCAGAAATAAGCACCATACCATAGACATCAATGAATTGCATGTTAACATAATCATCTTGCACGTTAAAATATAACTCGCATGTTGACATAAATAAGTCGCATGTCTATGTAATTATCTCGCATGTTAACATAATTATTTTACATAAACAAGTCGTATATCTACATAATTATGTTGCATGTTAACATAAATATGTCGCATGTTGACTTAAATATATTGCCTGTTAACATAATTATCTTGCATGTTAACATAAATAAGTTGCATGTCAATATAATTCTGTTGCATCTTGCTTGCATGTTGTCGTATACCGGCGTTAGTCAGTAAGTTTACCAACATTAAAATTTGATTCTCAGAAAAGGTTGCTTATCATCATGTCAACTTAATTACATGTATTATGCATGAAGACATAATTATCTTGCATGTTGACATATTATATCTTGCATTTAGGGGGCAGTAATATGCCACCATAAAAATATTTAGCGATTGCTGATGTCCTAAATACTGTTTCATCGGAATGATTAAGAAACATCAGTTTTAAAAGGATTGATAAATGTGATTTTTACAATGCTGTTTCCTAGTTTTGTTATTATTATCATCATGCAATTAATTTTTTAGACATTATTTCCATTTTCCATTTACCATCGAAATTCAGGTATGCCTTCTCAATGACTTCTTTATTTTGTGTGATATCAGCTGTTATCAAACAGACATCATTTCCTAAAAGTAAATGTATAGAATTTAGCTTATAATACTTTCACGTTACATCAAACTGTCGTTTACAGGCATTGTAAAATACGAGATACGTTTCAAAACTATACACATGTATCACTGGTGTCTACCGGTGAAATATAATTATGTGCTTATAATTGCACATACATGTAAGCTGCATTTATGATATCTCTAAGATTTGATACCAGACTCGCTTAATTGTAAATGGCCAAAAGGGTATGTTAAAAATGTTATGGAGCTCAAAACAGAGTTTATGTCCCCCTCTCACATACAATGGGTTCTCGTTTTGATTCATCAACATAAGTTTAAAATTCCATAATTTTGATTATTAGAAAGTTCATTTATTCTTTTCAGTTGCCTTACATCAAAGTTGAATGGTATATGCCTTATGTTCTTGAAAGGTGACCTAGTGATTATTGTGAAACTACCATATTTGAGAAGGTTGGATACCTGCAAGCTTTATTTTTTCCGGTTTGAGACTAAACAGCATAATGTACCATCCTAAAGCTATCATTTGCAGTAAATAATGAACAAATATGCTAATTAACTAAAATAACCGAGAGCATTGTTTGAACTTTAATTACAATCAAAATCACCGATATTTACTTTTCGTTTGATATTTAAACCCATTCTCGAATGTGTATAGAATGATTTCTGAACAATACGGAGGTTATATTCGTCTAATCTCTTTCAAATATATTATGGAGATCTACAATTGAGCGAGCTAACCAGTACCTATGATCAGAGATATCAAAATACACATGTATTGTGTAAAAAGTGTACATATGTATATAAGTAGCATAATAATTTAAGACATTTGGGTAAACTATCAGACACCAAAAATCACAGCGTAGTTATTTTTCCGATTACCATGTCTCTGACAATTTAAATGAGTGAAATCCCTTCCAACGTTTAAAAATTAACAAAATAAGGGGTATGAAACAAGACTCAGTATTAAAAAAAAGTACTGTTGGTCATCCTCATGGTGTGAATAACATTCTGCTTAAATCTTTAACAAAACAACAGACAATTTCAATCTAAACGGGTAAAAAACACAACCATAACATTTATTTTAAAAAAAAAATGAGTTACCTTCTAGAGTTGAAGAAATATTGGACAACATTTTAAGTTGAGTATCTTTGGGAAATATCTGCAGCCCGCTTATCCACAAGAGAGCTTTCCGACCTCTATAGTTCCTGTAAATGCAAATGCTTAAATCCAAGAAAAGAAAAATCGTGTTTCTTCTTGAGAAGGAATTTAATTGTTTTTTGCTGTTTTGCAGTGAAAGTAAAATTTATTTAATAGCATCTTTATGATGAAAAAATTAAACAGCCTTTATGGCAACAGAAACCTTTGAGCCTCTATGACCTTTCACCGTCGTGGTTTCGAGACCCCTCGCTTTGCCTTGTGCAATCTCGTAGACAAATCCTCATAAACTTTTCGTCATTTGGACAGAATGTGCTACCTACATGAATTCTTTAAATGTATTTACCCTATCTTGGACAATGCCTGGAACAGATCGTCTGACATTGGATCGACTTTGAGGCTATCTCCATAAATTTGGAAAAGGACATCACAAACTTCATTTAGAAAATCTGAAAACAGTACAAAATACAGACGGTAAGTACTAAAAATATGATTTTTAAATCCATTCATCGTAAGCAGTCAATTCAAATACTACATAAAAAAGTTAACCATTTTTCGTTTGCATATGGTATCTTACCTTTGGATACGTCAATCGGTGCGTATTCTACTGTATTTTGATACTGTAATAGTTCATTCAATAGCATTTGTGCTTTTTTAGTATTTCCACATCCAATGTCAAATACTTTGCAGGGAATACACAGATTGGATACAACATCCTATAAAATACATGTATTTCTCTTATTGATATAAAATATGACGAAAACTTTTAACGCTAATTAAGTTTTATCAATTTTAACTCGATAAATTAAAATAAATGATACAAAATTAGAAAAGCACAACCATTAATTTCCTTTGTAAGATGAGTAAATTGAAGATGATCATTTAAAGGTTAAATTTTTATCTTGTTTTCTTAGAAAAATTATGTCAAAAACTACTGAGGAAAACAACCAAGAAACATACTTTAATGCTAGACTTGATAAGAGCTTCCTCTGCTCTGTAATGATAGTATTCATCCAGGTCAAAACATTGCTCATCATACTGCAATCCCTGGTGGTCATAACGCAAGGAAACTGGAATGTATTTAGGACGACTGCACAGCCCTTCTTTAAGTTCCTTGGCTAGGTCCATGGCTGGTTGTCTGTTATGAAATCTTAGCAGTAATCAAGTCCAATATAATGATTTTAAAATACTTGTACAGGATGTAAATCCCCTATGCATCGCTCAAGTATTGTGTAGATTTGAGGTGCATGTATGAACAAGGATATACAGATAGATACATGTAACATTTCCGATTATGAATTATGACTTAAAATTTACAGTTGGTAAAACTTAAGAAATGTAACAGGAAGAGTAGATAAATAATATTATAACTATGATATGATAAAATATGATATCCCAAGTCATTGCTATTCATGTATTACATATAATATTGTATCGTTACAAATATGAAATCCCCCTCCCAGTCTTTACTTTATGGCCTATATATATATAGATTTATAATGGTAAATATGATACTCCTGGCCATTACTTATGATCAATATAGATTTATGATAATAAATATGATATTCTAGGTAATTCTATTTATTACTACATGTATACGACTTTTTTTCAAATTATAACATTTATAATTTTACAAATATAATAGTACTGGCCACTAGGACCTTAAAGTTTATAGATTTAAATGTTACAAATGTGGTATACCTGGTTGTAACTATATGATTTATATAAATTGGTAATATTACAAGTAAAATACCCCTGGATATTACTAAGTGCATAGTCTTTGAATCAATATCAAGACTAATGTATTTCCTTTTTAAAAAAGAAACATGTACATGTTTTTTTTCTTACATTTTTGTCAATTATATTCTCCTGCTTTACATCGCATTGAACATCTACTTCAAATATACACTAAATTATTCCCTTCTCTTTTTTTTTTCACATAACATTTGTTGTGGAATCTCTAATAGATATATATATATATATATATATATATATATATATATATATATATATATATATATATATATATATATATATATATATATATATATATATATATATGCTTGTGCAACTTCTACGCTCCTCTCCGAGATTCAAAGACTTTAACATTTTCTTTATCTCACTTAGTTTTGGTGATCGTACTAGTATTAAGTTTTCTGGAGCAAATGTCAATTTCAATTTATGACTCTGTCAAGAAGCAAACAGATTAATGTAGTGTTTTTCATTTCCACGAAAAGAAGTAATAATTTTTTTATGACCACATACATGACCTTGGTTTCAAATATGAAGCGCACCGTCAGTTTACTGATAATTCGAATTTATAATGCATCACATTAACCATTAATGGATCTTCTGATTGAGAAAATTTAACAACTGTTCATTGCAAAAATTACACAGAAAAGTGAACATCTAAATACTGTTTACGAAGCATACATTCTTGTTGGAGGAAATATGAAATCATCAGAATTTTGAATAAGAAATTTGAAAGGCGAGTTGATAGTCTAGAGTTGTTATAGACAAATTTTACTGAATTAGAAATATGCTAACTAGAGAAATTATCCTCATTACAATAACGACAATATACTGGTTTATAACTTAAACTGCTTTACACAAAACCTAGATTTTTTTCTGTGGTTAATTCTTTGTAGATTAAAAATAAACAATAATACTTTTCTTTTAAATCTATATTTTGATATTTGATCAATTACAAACTTATTTTTACGATATTAATGTATGAACAAAAACTATATTTAAGTTTACCGTATAAAATACGAGGAAAAAGGCATTGAATATAGCAGCACGTTACAAAATTCAAATGAAAATTAAGATTTATTGAATGTTGAAAATCTGTTTAAGTATTGTTTATTTTTTTCATAAAATTTTTAATGATTCTTTTAAAAACATCTGGATGAAAATTAAGTAATAAATATGAAGATAAAGAACAGCAATCAAGCTGAAAACTCCGTTACTTTGAAATAATTCAAACTGGGAGCAGAGCAAAAACGGACCTCTGAAAACATCAGAGATGGTATCAGGTTCCATTGAGTAGTTATCTTCCCCTGTCGACCAGTCACAGCCGCCGTGTGCTCCTTGTCATGATCAGGCAAACGGAACAATCCATAGACAATTCAGAGTGAAAATAATAGCCTAACAATTTGTATGAAAAATGTCAGTCAACATTCGACTTAACGATAAAATGTATTTGCTAACAAGGTCCTTCTATGAACAATAGAATTTGTAAAATGTTGACTTTAAACGAGAAAGTTGAAATCCTTGTATCATTAAGATATTTGTCAATAGTTTGCCTCGTTTTAGAAATTGATTGTATGTAGAGTATGCTTTTGCTTATCGAATCAACTAGGAGACATAAACTCTATATGCAGGTGATAATGGTATATTGCTATATGATTAAGGGAAGTAATCACGTTTATCAAAAAGTTTAGTTGTTTGTTTTACATTAATGTCTTTAACATCTAAATTTGAAACAGATATGTTTAGACTCTTTGATATCTTTTATTTTGAGTTCAAAGGAATATATCAAATCAATGTAGAATTGAGAAAATGAATGTTTTTAATTGAAAAAACGTCGGCGATATACTAGTATCTAAATGTCGAATAAAAGACCACAGCAAGATTCTTCTTTTCATGGAGAAGTTTTTGAATAAATTTTGCTTCATTTGAATACAAAAACAAGTCTGCTAATAATGGGGAGCAATTAGTACCTATGAGAAATCCAGTAGATTGTTGAAAGACCTGATCATGATCTCCAAAAGCTTTAAAATATGACAACTCAGATTGCCATTTCCGCTTTTCATTGGCTATAGCAATACCAAGACGCTGAGTTGACTTTATTCTTAATGGAATATAACAACGTCAAAGCCTGAATTCTGTTTAATTGTATCATGTCAATGTAAAGATAGCAATACTTTTTAAATAGCCTTTCTTTTCCTTAAAACTTCATAAGAATAGTATAAATAAAAAGTAAAAAGCCAGGATTTGGAAAAAAATTATGCATTAGGGTTTTTAAAATTATATTTATTCTGTTTTTTTTTAATTAAATAATTAAAATCTAGTATCTGATCCAGTCATGAAAAGTCAAATGAGCAAAAGACTAGGTTGGTGTATTAGTTTTATTAAAAGGCTGATGCATTGCTTTTGTACAGATCAATAATTTTAATGTTGTAAATAACAAATAAAAAAATTATCTCTCCATAATTCAAATTTATATAAAAGACATCTTATTTAAAAATATTAGGTATAATACGAGGGTCATTCAAACAATAGTTAAATAATATTTTAAAAATACGCAGACAATATTTAAAAATACGTAGACATAGTCTAAGAACTTTTGGTATGACTCTCGTATAACCAGCAAGCTTAGAACATATATTTCAAACATAGTCAATATAGTCAATGTGCACACTACCCTTTCAATCATTTTTGATTTACAAGAGAAGCTCCAATTACATGAAGGGCAACCACATTTCACAAAACTGAACAGATGGATTCACTTTAAATACCAGTATCCACTGATGTCGAAAGTACTGTTGATGTCATCATTAACCCCGAGAATGGGCTTTTCCTTGAGAGGTCAGTATCTACCACCACAGGTTCATCTTTTTGAAGGTCCTTTGAATGTTGCAGTACTTTGTCAGCGCACGTCCTGATGACTTCGTAAGTATACTGTATTTCGTCGGACGTGGTTCATTCTGCGACAACTATGAGACGAAGGAAGTACGTGTCTCTAATGAAAAAAAGGATCATGTATATTCTTCCGTTGTCCAAAATTTCGCTGAGAAGTTTTTCTGTTCCTTTGTTTCCCTTCTTTTAATTACATACACAGAAATTTCAAATTTTTCTTGACATAAACATAGCGTCTCTGTCATACGACAACAACTAGTTTATTAATTTATATTTGTAAGAATAAGCTAACAAACCTAATCCGCTGCAAGGAGCAAAGTCATCATGTCATTTATTTTTATTTTGTATTTTATAATTATCATACATGTATTTAACAAACTGAATGATATTCTTTATTAGTATATAAAGTATTTATTAGATTTCTGGTTATTATTCACACAAAGGATTTCATTTCTATGAAATGCTTGAACAACCTACAAATCTTGAGTCTGAAGCAAAGAAGTTCCATTACTGTTTCGGAGGTTATCTCGAATCGACCATCCTCCAAAATGAGCTTTTCGAATTTATTTGCCAATTGACATTGCTAAAAAAAGATTTACTTAATATATATAAAAGGACCATGATATATTTTCATTCATACAATTTTCTTGCTTAGCAATATTGGATAACCTTCTTCTGATAACTAATTACACTTCTAGCATGTACTCCAAACCGCATTTGATTAAAATGTATTTTTATCAAGCATACCAGTATGAATGGACTGTATAAAAAGTCATGTCACCCAACAAAGAAGAGAAGTTAATGTACATTAATTTTATGACAATAATATAGTGTGATTTTTGAGGATCAACCTCGCAAGTTTTTTGTTTTGTTTTTGTCTTTTTAATAGTTTTTTCCCTTTAATCATTTTTAAAAGTAATTTGTCCACATTTCTAAAATATGTTTACATGAATAAAACTGAGGTATGATACGAAATACAAACACAATGTCAATATTTGAATGGCGGTCAAATAGATAGGTGATATAAATACATTTATTATACCTTTATTAAGAATACTCAAATTTGATTGGCTTGTTAGAAGGCTTTTAAACTCAATAATGACTCCAAAAAGTACCGTTTACAGCAATAATGACCTAGGAATCATTGCACGTGGGGTATAATGACCGGTCAATAAAATTAATGACCGCTAAAAATGACCTGTTAATCCAAATTCCATTCAAATTAAAAAAAAATATGCATACAGTAATGATTGTACATTACAAAAATTGCCGTTATAAAAATATGTATAGTATTTTTAGGATACGGAACACGATTGGCCTTTAGATGCGTCATAACATTTATCGTTTTCATTGAAATTAACTTTCGTTACAATACAATGTCAAATTCAACGAACGCAGACTCGGCTCTGTTGTACAGTAAAAGTCTGCACCAGATTGTCATTGTAGTCGGGAATGGTATCTGTGAATTTATAAAAATGCAATGTTACTGACAATCACAGAGTGTTTTAATAAATCGGCGGTGCAAAAACTTACAAGACTAGCAGCCGAAAAGTAAACAACTTCACTAGCGAATCCCGATCGCGATGGAACACTGACAACAGTTCGTAGG